AGAGACGACCGAGACCCTGACCCACAGGGTGTGTGCTCCAGCTCCTGAGCAGGGCCCTCAGTGATGTAATCATCTGAGTTCAAGTGCTTCCTGATCTTGCAGAGCAGTGGATTTCAGACTGCAAAATGTTGAGAGAAGTTTTAAAACAATTCCCACCTTTTTATTGGGTTGCAAAAGAACATAAAAGTTAGAAACAAGAGGGGCCACTTATCTCCTGAAGTGTGGTTGGAAGTATGTAATTTTCTGATCCCAGGATCTTATCCAGACACTTCTTTCTGCTTTGACAGCACGGCTGGGTAGCTCGTTCCATACTCCCGCCACCCTTTGTGTAAAGAAGTGCGTGTTTCTGCAGACCCGGTCCTCTTGACAGCCGCATCACCGTGAGTGCGTGCCTTTCCCATGTCGAGTTTTGACAGCTTTACACCGGTAGTGTGTGTGTGTGTGCGAGACAGGCTTGGCCCGGCTGTCCTCCCTCTCAGGTTTCCAGTTGGTAGTGGCAGCGGGGGGCAGAGGGAATGACAGCGATGTGGCAGCGGGCAGATAAAGTGACAAGACACATGTGCATCGGACTATAAATATCCGCCAGATTCTGCGGCTGTTTTCCTTGAGAGACAAAAGTGGATCAGCCCACTCAAACCCGTGCTCGCGCTACACTGGACAAACCTGCTGCCTGCCTGTCTTCCACCCCCCTGCATGCACACACACACAAAATAGTTTAATTTCCCTTCATTCCCCCAGCGAGATCAGAGAGGCAGCAGGAGTGACCGAAGCAGGCACCAGGGGTGAGAGCAGGCTCTCCTGCCCCAGCGCGCGGCGGCGGGGGCGAAATCTTACTTTTTTGGGGGCTTGTTCTTTAGGAACGCTTGACTGGCAACGAAGCATGTGACAGGGGCACTGATATCAGGATCCCGTTTCCGGCTGGAGGTGCTCGCAGTCGGGTGTCCGAGCTAAATGAGCAGCTGAATTTGCAGAAACGCCTCTCTTCTTTAAACCAAACTCTTCTTTAAATAGAAAAGAGCACCTCCCCTCCCTCTTCCTCTCTGTGTGCAGGATAGGTTTCCTCCCGTTCATCTTGCTCGCTAGGAAAGATGAAAGAGAGGCTCGTTCCGCAGAAGAGAAGCCGGGCCTCCTGCTCGCGCCCAGGCGCCAACGAGCTCGCAGCGCGGGGCCGTTCGAACGGGGCGCCCGCCGCGCCGCGCCAGCTGGGGGGGCCACGCAGACGGGGGGGGGGGGGGGGCAGGTGGCAGGAAGTCGACCGCCCGGCGTGGGTGGCACCACATGTTTCCCAGACAGCCCACCCGCTGCGGGTCAAAGATCGTCTGCCATGGCAGGGCGCAGCGGGGGGGGGCGGTGCCCGCGGTGGCTGTGGTGGCCTCCTGGTGTCGGGTGCGAGCGGCCGGGCTGGTTTTCGCAGCTGCAGCGGCTCGGACTGCCCTCACCTGCAGCACGAGCGCCCTCCCACCCGCGGGCGAAATGGAGCCGGCATTGGCACGGGCGCACAAATGCCCGCGGAGAGGGAGCAGGCCAGGCGGAAGAGCGCTGCGGGTGCGATCCTCCGTCGCAGGTGAAGCTCGCCACGGCTGCCTGCCTACCGTTCGCGGTGAGGGGCCGGTAACACCCCTCTCGGGGCCCCGGGAGCCCGTGGCCGGCAGGGGGGACAGAAGGGGCATCTCCTGGCTGGTCACCCGCCTGCTCGACTGCAGCCCAGCAAGGGGGAGCAGCTGGGCCCGGAGTCCAGCAGCATGACTGTTCTTGAGCCCCAGCCAGGACAACTCCAGCAGAGCTGGCAAACCTAGACCATGCCCCCCTCCCCACGCCCACCCCTCTCTCCGGCACTCTGATTTACACCCCGACTCTCAGGACCCTATTACACTCTCACCCCCTCCCTCCTGCCCTTCTGGCTCCTTTCAGTATCGACTGTCGCCCTTCAGACAGTGTTTTTATTCCTTGATCTTATTTATTTTTTCGACCCCCTTCACCTCTTTCCTCCTCTCGTATGTTTCTGCCTCCCTCTCAGGGCTCCGGGTCTCTCCCCCCGGCTCCACGTTCCTCTGCCTCTGCTTCCCCTCCCTCCCCCATCCTTTCCCTTCTCCGGTTTTGCATTAGTCTCGGTTGCTAAAGCACTTCTTTACACAAAGAGTTGTGGGAGCATGGGGCAGTTGTGTTGTTGAACCCCCCCAGTTTTTCTCTCTTTCTCCCCTTAATCATGGTCTGAACCCCAGATTATTCTCACTCTCCTCTCTCGCTCTCTCTGTACCGCTGTCCCAACAGACTCTCCTGCATGAAAGGGAAACTGCAGTCACAATTTCTCAGACCGATTTACACTTCATTCACAATATAATCTACTTGACGGTGTGGCAAGTTTGTACTTATTCCTAATTAAGCACAAAATCGTGAACTATGTGAAGGTACTGGATGGTCGGCGTGTTGTCGTAAAACCGGCCCTTCCTGCTCGCTAGTCACTGTAATGACTGATGTCAGGTGATGTACGAGTGAATGAGTACAGGTTGTGCAGCAGATATTTCACAGCAGAAATATTCCAAAGTGATCAGCATGCAGAGTCAACAAGCAAGCAGTATTTGTCGAAAATAAACATCTCGGAAGTCAAGAGCACTATTTCTGTTGGACTTAAAGAGCTGTTTAAAATATAGTAGTGCCACATTACCTTACCTGAAGTTTTGTTAACTTGTTTTGAATTGCAGGCAATGAAGGCAATTGGCGTTGCGTGTACCTGGAAATGTCTTCTATTTTGTGATGTAAATTGGAGGTTTTAAACATTACAGTGTACATCGTCCTTTCATGGTGGTTTAAAATGCACTCATCGTTTGCGATTCAGATGCTGTTTTTTTTTTCGGGGTTAGAGAGAACGCCGATTCTTTCGTACTCCGAAATATAAAAGCAGCGTTGCGCGTTCCCCTTTAATCCCTGGGTGTCTGTCACTCTCCCAGGAAGCAGCTGTGGCCAGTTTGCTTCCTCATGCAAGAGCTGTCGGGGGGAAAGAGAGAGAGAGAGGGAGGTCGCCTTACTCAAACCTAAACCTTTCTCTAATCCCCCCAGTCGTCTGCTGTACAGCGCTGGGGGGAGAGGTAGGGGGCGTTTCTGCCACTTAATCCAGGGCGATCTCGTCCTCCTCCTTCAGACGGCTCCGACAGCTGCCAGGGCGCTGATCATCCAGCTCTCCGTCGGTCCTGTTTGAAAATCTAGACCCCGAGGGGGGGTGATGACTGGGTCGTGGCTCCTGTGTTTCGAAGGGGAGCGGGGCTTGGCCTGCTCATTCACGGGGCGCGAGGGAAATCGGCTCCAGCCGTTTTTGGTGGAGGTGGGGAAAAGGGGGCCTTATTTCTGGTATTGATAAAACAGTGGCTTTAGGCAGCGGGTGCGGGTGTTTCAGTTGGCTGGTTTCGGGCGGGATTCACTGCGAAAAGCTGGGGTTCTAGAGGAAAGTTTCTGGAAGTGAATTGGCAAGCATGATGGCTCCCAGCATCCACAGGGGCTGTTCCCTTCCCATGTGCGCCCCACGACGCCGGGCAGCGGGTTCTGACAGCACGACGTCATCGGGAGCGACGGGCGGGTTTTAGACGGGGTTTGTGTTACTGGTGCTTCGACAGGAACGCTGCAGTGGGAAATTGGGCGCGTGCGTTGTACCTCGCGCGGAACGCAAGCTTAGAGATGGTGGGAATCTTCGCAGACTTCCTGGTTAGACTCTGGCAATGGTTACGCCACACTACCAGCCAGGATTGCACCCTTCCCCACACACACACACAACCCTGCAGCTGCAGCCTCGTCCTGTCCTCCTGGGCCCCGACTGCCTTAATTAAGAGCATCCATTTGCTTAATTAGTACAAACTGGTCAGGTTCTCCAGGTCCAGTCGTAGTGACTGTTGAAGGCAGTGCTGGAGGATCTGCAGGGGTTTATGGGTAGCCTCAGGGAGTAAAGATCCAGAACCAGTGATCAAACAGACCGATGAAACGAACCGCCGATTCGGATAAAGTCATTAAGAGCCCGGGGTGAAATGAAAATGAAAAGGCATGGTGTGAACTTCAGTGAGCTGCAGGACAGAGGCTCTCCAGAACCACTTTGTATATACTCAGTGACCAATACTGAATATGCAAAGATGGAAGATGGGGGCTCGGCTCAGACAGTCTTTGCATTCCTGTATTCTGCACTTGGGTAGCTCTCCAAACTATCCCACAAAAAGCTCCTAAACCACCTTTTTTTAAGGGAGGGGATTACATTGGGAGTAAAATGCACTACACTGATCTAAGTACACAGATTGAGACGCTTGTCAACATATTTATTACTGAGCTCAGACCTGCAGTAGGAAGAACAGAATATGAAGAATAAGGAACAGTAACTAAAACCAGGCTTTCATCTTGTGAAAAGCTTGTTGAACCAAGGAACAAGGAATGTGTGTGTCTTGTAATTATTGTTTTCATAAAACCTTTTGAGGAGATTTGTTTGTGCTGTCATTGTGTTTTATTTGAGAGTGTTCCCTGTAGATTTTCTAAAAGTCTTATCACCAGGTGGAGATGCCCAGGCTTGTATTGTGGCTTTTAATAAGGGTTGTTTTTTAACCCATTTAAAATCTTTTGAGTTATTGTCATGGGTGTAAGAAAACACAGGAAAAGAAAAAAAAACTTTTCTAGTGTTGGGTGTGTATGAGGCTGTCCTCTTAAAGAGGAGGTCAGCATCAGTCTTCTGTAACTTAGCCAGATTTGTAGAGCACAGAGAAGAATGTTGATTTGCAAAGTGATGTGTGGTCCTATTTTCTGCTGGAAAGTAGTTTTATTTCCAGCGTTTTGTCCTTTACCGAAAAAAAGTGAATAGATACTGCAGCGCTCTACGACTTGTTTAAAGAGTCCAGGGCTAACTCATTTGAATACAGTGTGAACACAGAGTTCATTTGCATATGCCAGGCAGAGCTCCAATGTCAGCTGTGCTTATTTATATCAGTGATAGCGGGGGCTGATTGGTGCTGTCTGTGTGTCCTCCTGGCCAGGTGGTGAAGATGAGCTCAGAGAAGGAGCGGTCCCAGCTGCTGTGTGTGAAGGCCCTGGCCAGCAGGGGGCGCCTGGACTCAATCACACAACAGATGGGCTACCACCCGCAGTACCTGGAGAGCTTCCTGCGCACACAGCACTACATCTTGCACATGGACGGCCCCCTGCCTCTGCACTACCGCCACTACATTGCCATCATGGTGAGCCACATGCAGCAGGCCTCTGAAGTTTACTGGGGTATAGCATAACGCAAACAAGAATGCGTAGCGAGTAGTGGTGCCTTGCATTAATATTGTGCTGAGTTTGGAAGTGTGGTTGCTGACCCTGCTGTAGTAACCGTTCCCATCTGCCTGTGTCCCCGTCTGTCTCTCTGCGTCGTCCCCACGCAGGCTGCTGCCCGGCACCACTGTCGCTACCTGGTGTCTCTTCACTCCGCCCACTTCCTGCGGGTGGGCGGGGACCCCTTGTGGCTGCAGGGCCTGGACTCCGCCCCCCCGCGGCTGCGCAGCCTGGACCAGCTCAACAAGGTGCTGGCGCACCGGCCCTGGCTCACCGCGCGGCAGCACATCGAGGTACGGCGGCCCGGATAGGGGAAAAGAGCGAAAGGGCAGCGCAGGTCCGCAGGGTCTCCCGTCATGGGAGAGGGAATGTTGTAGAGGTCCGAGTCCTGGCCTGGCTCGAGGGAATTCTGAACGGACTGGGACTATAGAGCCCCCTGCAACGCTGCTGTAATTCGGGGCCCTGTGAGAAATACTCCTCATGTGTGCGTCCCCTCCAGCGTTCTTCCAGACACGGCCGTTTTGGTCACGAACTGAACTCATTTCTAACCTCCCCTAGTCTGTGCTGTTGCGGCCCTACGATAGGAAGCACATACCTGTATCTGTACCGTTCCCTGAGTGAGTCATTGGCATGACGATGTGATGAGGCCTGAGAGATATTAATAATGCAGAGGAAAAAGCCAAGATTTTAAATGGAGGGTCTGAGGCTGTTCTAGAAGCCCCATGTCTCTTCTGGGCCATTCTAGAAGCCCCATGTCTCTTCTAGGCCGTTCAAGAAGTTCCGGGTCTACGAGGCTCTTCAACAAGCTCCATGTCTCTTCAAGGCCGTTCTAGAAGCCCCATGTCTCTTCTAGGCCATTCTAGAAGCTCTGGGTCTCTGTCTCTTCTAGGCCGTTCTAGAAGCTCTGGGTCTCAGAGGTTGTTCTAGAAGCCCCCATGTCTCTTCTAGGCCATTCTAGAAGACCCATATCTCTTCTAGGCTGTTCTAGAAGCTCTGGGTCTCTGGGGCTGTTATAGAAGCTCTGGGTCTCTGGGGCTGTTCTAGAAGCTGCAGGTCCCAGGGCCTTTTCTAGAAGGTTCTAGAACACCTCGGAGGCCAGGCTTGGCCTGACGCTGTGGGACTGGGGATGAAGAGAAAGGGGTTCATGCCTGAAGCTGTCCCTCTCCCGCAGGCGCTGCTGAAGATCGCCGAGCAGTGCTGGTCCCTGGCGGAGCTGGTGCAGGCCGTGGTCCTGCTGGCGCACTGCCACGCGCTGGCCAGCTTCGTCTTCGGGGCGGGCCTGGAGCAGGACACCCCCGAGCCCCCCGGCCTGGCCAGCTACTGCTTCTGCGACGCGGCCAACGGCAACGCGGCCGCCCCCCCCGAGGGGCTGCGCTCCGCCCGCCGCAGGGTGAGTGTGCCGTCGCCTGGCAACGCCGGCACCTCCGCCAAAAAAAAAGGCAGTACCAGTCGGCACTTCCCCGGGGTCGGTTTTCACAAGACGTGACGCAAAAGAGCAGAGGAAAGCACACTCCCAGCAATGAAGGAGATCTGTGGGGTAGGGGAACCTCTGCATATAAGGGGTTCTCGATAAGCCAAACGCGTTCATCCTGATCTTGTGCTGAAATGTAGGCAGGCTGGAAAATTAAAGACGCGTTTGGGAGTATAGAGTGTGCATTCAGCAGACCCTACCTTTCAGATTCCATAGAAGACTCGTATCCAAGCTCTAGCCAGTTCCTGCTCCCGAGCAGCTGTCCTTTAAGCAGTGTGGTTGCATCTTGAGAGTACCAGGGTATGTAGCATTATAGCTGTATTAATAACACTGCTGAGAGCCCCTGGTGAGTACCTGTCCCTCAGCCGGTTCTGCACTTGGGACGTCCAGAAGCCCAGCTGTGCAGTCCGGACCACTGCACCGGAGCCAAAACAGCCTGTTCTGACGCACTATGGCGGAAACCACGGGGCCAAGTCAGACGCAGCCCAAGCGACCAGCCAGTTGCTTTGAGCAGAGGCACCTCAAGTCCATGCAGAACAGCGCGATGTAATGCGATCCACAGAGGATCACGCCGTGAAGCTCAGCCTGGTGTCGCGTGACATTTTCCAAATCCATCCCGGTCCTGCAGTCCTTGAGCCTGTTGAGTGGGACGGCACGCAGCAGGCTCTACATTGTCGATCTCCTTTATTAGTTAGACATGGGTTGCGTCTGAACTTGTAATTACAGTCTGCTAGAATGGCTGGACTTGAAAAAGTCCCGCTGCCAGGTGTGGATGGTGACTTTGGATGGCAGCAGGAATAATCAGCAGCCCTCTGGGCGCAAATATGGACCAGAGGTTTAAGAGGCGGATATAGGAATGTTAGGGACGTGGTGAGTTCTGCGGCAAGCTTGCTTGTGGCAACAATCACCCCGATTTCATCAGAAGCAAGTGTCGTATTTTCGCTTTGGGAAGTGGCATCGGTCAGACTTCTTTAAAAAAGGCGTGGCTTCCGAAGGGGAGTGGGCTAGCGACTCCTGTAGGGCGGGGCCTCTAACTGCAGCCTGTCCCCGTTGTCAGTCGCTGGACTCCAGCTGCGAGGGGGGCTGTCTGCAGGAGCGAATCCAGTGGGTCCAGGAGGAGAAGGAGAGACGCGGCGAGAGGCGGATTAATGCACAGCCCCTCCTGTACACAGGTAAGCAACAGCCAACCCGGCCCTTACCCCCACCCTGCAGGTGAGATCACTCCGCAGCCCTCATCTCCCACCAGCGGGAAAGGTGCTGATGCTAAGATCATGACTTTAGCGCTCACATTCCACCACGAACAGGCATGTTTTGGCAGATAGATTTATGAGTTTCTTCGACGGGCAGCAAAGCATTTGTAAAAATAATTATAGTGGAGTAAGGCCATGTGAATTATTCCTCATATTAATCCTTTTTAATTCTTGGCCTGTGGCATGCCAATGATAGCAAAACACATGGCTGCCGATAGATTTTGCAGTGCAGACTGCAGCTGACTGAGGGTACAAAGCGAGCTGTGCTCTTGGGCCCCTGCTGTCTCTCCAGAGCGGCTGAAAGTAGCTCCCCCATTCCTGAAAGATTTGGTACAAGAATAAGAGGTGCAAATTACAGATTAATAAAAGTAGGTATAGGGGCAGCCTTAATCCAGAGCACAGTTCAAGAATTGAAGTGGGAGTTGATCTGGGGATAGATTGAAGTAGCTTGCATTTTCACAGCTGCTGCACAAAGCTCTATGGAGCAGGGAGGTGGTGTGTGTGTGTGTGTGTGTGTGCGTGCGTGCGTGTGTACCGCGCACTCAGTGCCTGCCTGTGTGTCTGCAGAGCTGGAGGAAGAGGAGGAGGCGCCGTGCTGCGCAGACCCTTCACGCTTTGTCTCGGACCCCGAGTTTGGATATCAGGATTTCGACCGCAGAGAGGAGGACCACTTCCAGGTGTTCAGGGTGCAGGTGAGGATCCCCTGTTTTGCGAAAGCATTTGGTTTGACATCAGCCACCCCTGAGCCCCGCAGAAATGGGCATCGGAGCTGTGTCAGCCCTCAGTTTGAATGTCCTTTGCATTACTGCTTCACAGTAGTGGCCAAACGGGTGGCCAAAACAGGTATTAAGAAGAGGCTGTGTGCTGATTGCCTTTATAAGCACGTACTTGGTCTGTTTGGTATTATCATAGTTGAGTAATGGGGTGGAGCGGTGGCTCTGTGGCTCAGGATCTGCGCCTGTGGCTGGAAGGTTGCCGGTTCAAATCCCGCGGCCGGCAGAGGAATCCTACTCTGTTGGGCCCCTGAGCGAGGCCCTTCACCCCAACTGCTCCAGGGGCCCCGTACAATGGCAGACCCTGCACTCTGACCCCAAGCTTCTCTCCCTGTCTGTCTGTGTCTCCATGGAGAAAAGCTGGGGTATGCGAAAAGACGAATTCCTAATACAAGAAATTGTACAGGGCTAATAAAGAAACATTATTATTATTATTAAAGCAGGTGATAAAGGTAGCAGTGGTAGCAACATTACAACACGGTGCAGTCATGGAGCGAAACTGAGCACGAGGTGCCGTTCCGGCAAGCATCTCGGAGAGGAAAGGTCACCTCCGTGTCTCAATTCTTTTTGTTTTGGCAACAGGACTATTCCTGGGAGGATCACGGTTTCTCGCTGGTGAACCGGCTGTACTCGGACATCGGCCACCTGCTGGACGACCGCTTCCGCACTGTCACCAGCCTGCCCAACAGCGTGCTGTCCGGCGGCCAGGGGTCGGAGGTCAAGAGAGCCATCTGGAACTACATCCACTGGATGTTCGGAATCAGGTACCCTTGACACCCTTGACCTTGACACCTCGGCGGCTCTGACGGACCCCTTGACCGAGTCTTACTGACCCGGAAGCTCTCGGATTTGAACCTGCGCTCCTCTGTGCTCGCCCTTGCAGCGTCAAGTCTAGATACAGCATCGGCATCAACTTATTTGTGAAGTCAGGGATTTTTTTAAACATGCATATATGTCTGTGTGGCTCTACTGTGTGTCTTTTTGGACACTATTTTAGTGCAAGTATTTCGAAGCCTCCCTGCCAGGCTGAGAGATGGGCAGTGAGAAGGAGAGACCCTAGTGAGTTTTTTGGGAGATGAGTTCCTGTGGTGCCCCAGTGTCTATGCGGAGCTGTGTGCTGCTGGGGTGCTTTTCATTTGAGTTAAACAAACCGAATCACTGATCATCTCTGAGCGCACTCCGCAAATATCCACCAGACCACATGTTCTTAGCTCCCCAGTGTTGCGCCAAAAGCCATTCTCCTGAAGACACTGGACCAATAAGCCTCCTCCCTGCCATAACCGGCCCCCCCCTCTTCCTTTTTCCCTGCTTTACTGAAAACGCCAACGTTTTGTTTTTCTCCCACGGGGCGGCCCCAGTGTTTGCAATCAGTGTCAAAGTTGTAGCCGCGGTGCAGCGTTTAATTGAGTCCCCCAGGTGGCTGTCGCGTTCTGTCTGCCTGCCTGGCGGAGCAGCTGCCAGGACCCTGGGGACCGCATTAACCGAAACACCTGCAGCAGACAGGCAGGAAACGTGTTTTGTAGACGGGGCCAGGGAAGGTACTGCAGGGAGAGGGTAGGCCCACTACAGCCCCGTTGGCTCAGGGCTCTGCTGCTAATTCACGCGCCTGTGTGCGTCCATTTCCCGGTAGGTACGACGACTATGACTACGGGGAGGTGAATCACCTGCTGGAGAGGAATCTGAAGCTCTACATCAAGACTGTGACGTGCTACCCTGACAAAACCAAAAGCCAGCTCTTCCCCCGGCCCTGGAAACCACTGAAACCAGCAGAGAAGGTAGGGCGACCCTCAGCGCCGCGTGACCAGCATCGCCGGTCCGGTTTTGCTCTCGCCTGGACGTCGCTTGCCGGAGCGTCGCCTAATCTGCCCCCCCGCACCACGCCGACAAGAGGATCACCCCCCCCCTCCAGAGCTGCTGTGCGTCTCCTCTCCACACGGGGGCGTGGTTTCAAGTGCAGCGCAGTGTAGTTATACACGTTCAAAACCGGAATCAAAAAACAACTCCTGCAGCACACTGTCAATCATGTGGCAACACTCACTTCCAGAATTCTTGTCACAGTCGAGCGGGGGTCCCCCAGTCCTGGTGACCCCGACACCTGCTGGTTTTCACTCCCTCCCGCCTTCATTACGTACTTCAGCCCTCAAGTGAGCTAAGAAGTGGCTTCATTGGAATATTTGCATTTTGCTTCCAGTCACAGGTTTGGGATTGCATTGCCCTTACGAGACACAGAGGTTAAAACTCCAACCCAGCCGCTGAAGAGCGGGGAGCAAGCGGCTCAAATGGATCTGATTATTAAGTCAATGAAGGGCTTGATTGTGTCACTGAGGGCTCGGCTGGAGCAGAAACCAACAGGTGTTTGTGTGTGGGTCACCGGGACCAGCACTGAGAACCACTGCTCTAGGTGGTGTCACTGGTGTTACAAACCACCCAAAACATCACGAGCGAGGGGGGGAGGAGAGAGTTCATTTGATTGAGTCACAAGTGAAGATTGGTGTCGGTCAGGGAACTGGGTGCCGAGGGAGGGAACAGAGGGTGGCCTTGTTCTCCCGAGAGCTCACTGTGGCTTTTGTCATCTCCCCCAGGTCCATGTGAACTTGCTGATAATGGAGGCCAGGTTGCAGGCGGAGCTCCTGTACGCCTTGAGAGCCATCACCCAGTACATGATCGCCTAGGCTGGGAGAGGGTGCGCGCGTGTCTGTGTGTGCGTGAGTGCGTGCGTGCGTGCGTGTGTGTGAGAGATGATGGGGAGGGGGGGGGCACGTTGGAGAGAGCGAGAGAAAAACGCACCTTCCCCTCCCTCTCCCCCAACCCACTCCCAACCCCCCCCCAGGGGAAGAGATGGGAAGTGCACTTGAAGGAGAGCGAGAGTGGGAGCAGAGCATGATGGGACTGCGCGAGAGTGCGAGGGCGCAGAGGGAGAGTGTGAGTGTGAAAACAGTGGAGGAGGAGGAAGAGTGAGGCATTCAGCAATACAGAACTGTTAGAACAGTACCTTGATGGGAGACCGCGTTCTTTAGTCCTGGACAGGGAGCCTGTTCAAGTCTAGTTTGACGGGACTCTTTGCATTGCTTCCTTGTTTGTTTTTTCTCTTGCTGTTATTTTGTTTTGCCACAGCTGTGATGCTGTGACAGGTAATGTGCAATTATTATTATAATTATTATTGTTATTATAAATCTCTAGACTGTGATGGAAGCTGAAGTGGGGCTCAGAGAATTGTGCACCGGACACCGTGTGACAGAGTGGGGTTAGTTTTGCTGTTCTGTTTTTTCTTTTCCACTTTTTACGGTTGCGTTGTTGCGGCGCGCCACCTGTGCGGTACAGTGACTGATCACTGCTCGTATCACCGGGATCTAAATGGTTGTTTTTTTAACTTGGGAGATTTCACGCAGCATTTCAAACTGAAGAAATTCAGAGATTGTTCTTTCCCCAAATTGTTCTTTTTGTCTCGGCACCATCCCCTCCCCCCACCAAAAAAAACAAACAACAAACAGAATGGTCCATCTGAATGGCCATGAGACAGACACAAGTGGAAAGGTCAAAGGTCAGGGCTTTAGGTTTTAGCAACATGCAGAAGGAAGACCTACTCGAACAAAAACACTAAATAGAACACTTTTACATAAGCTATTAAGCTCCTTATGATGTTAGAAAGCTAAAACTTTTGTTTTTGCAAATGAGAAGCCCTGACAGTAAAACATAAAAGTATTTAAGCAGTTTGCTTTTCTCCCAACATCCTATATAAATTTCTAAATGCATCCTAGCACAAAACCCACACCTACCCAACTATGACATGCGCCATTCTCTGGTGCTCTTCACATCTACTGTTTTAAACAAAATCAACTGACCTGTAACACTTCACTACCACCCAAAGAATCTTTTTTAAAAAAAAAAAAGGAAAAGTGGATGAAAGATTTCCTGTTTGTGAAATTTAATTTTAAGTGAAGAAAAAATATTTTGTTTTGAGTAGCTCATATAAACCTCAAAACATTTGCAGCTGCTGAAGGCAGCTCGAATGAAGGACCGTCTCTCTGGACAAACGGGGAACTCCCTGATACTGACATGCTCATTGGCTGTTGGTTGGACAACTGTGGGCAAGCTGTTGGCAAAGCAGATCTTTAGACAGAACCAGGAAGGGCTGAGGGAGAGGTGCCGTCTGGAGCACTACAAGGCAATAACAGCCATTATGAGCCTCTTGCCATGAGACCTACTCATTCAGCCTGAGTGCTTCCAGGCTGCTGTGACAGTGCAGGTGAAACAATCATCTCCCATTCTGTCTCGGTGTGATCAGACATACTGGTCTTGGCAGGAATGCTACAGACCTTGACAGGAGTGATGTGACTCCCATGGTTTACTTACAGATAACCCCGGTGCGTTTAAAAAAAAAAAAAAAAAAAGCGTTATGGTACGACTTGGTATTACATCTCTGGTCCCCACCAAGAAAAAAAAACAACAACTTTTGTTTATCGTTATTTTTGTTTTATTTTGTTTTTGAGTTCGCTGCTAAACTCCACCCACTGTATTGTTACCCTGAATATTTCAGAGGCAGTAGGTTTGGAAGGCCCATTGCGGGCGCCTTTGTTGAAAAAGAATTTGCATCTCTTATCTCAAACAAAACAAAAGAAGAAAAACAAATGCACATGTCTTTGGTCTGAATGATCCGTGAATCCTTGGGATTTTGACTGTCTGTGCTCCCCCCCCATGCGTTAAGCACAGGTGCCTTTGTTTCGGGGTGGCCTGGAGCTCTGCCCCTATCCGAAGCCAACTGTACTGTACGCCCGCTGCCAACGTTGTGCTGCTGGCTGTGGGGGCACAGGGAGCACCAAATGAGGCCAGCCCACATGCTCTCTCAGCTGTTCTCTCCACACTCTCAAGCCCAGCAGCCACAGCTTTACAGGCGGACTGAACTAAAGAGCTGCCATTCAGCTCCATTCCTCGGCCCTCTTCGTCTGGAGGTCAGAGCTGTGGTTTCGGCCTTGGACTGGAATCTCCAGCAGTGAGGACGCTGGCCAGGGACTGTAGTTTGTTTGCCAGTGGAATCAAAGAGACATTTCTGCCAGTCTGCTCCAGCAGCTGTTACTCCTGCCCAAGTGCACCCAATCACCGTTGAGGACTCCTAAAACAAGCTGTTCACACTCCGGGCCCTGTTCCGGGAGGTCAGGGCAGAACGGATGGGGGCACTTGATACCATCACTGGATTATTTTCATTGGCCACCGAGACTGCTTAGTGACATCACAATGGCACAATCCAATCCCCCTTCCCCTACCGCGAAAGACTGGAGGGGAAAAAAAAACTGGAGGGCCACGCCCCCCTCCCCCACCTATCAGATGGTGAGCTTCAGCCATCACTCACATGGCTCCGCCCCCCCATCTTCAGCAGAGCAGCGGCACAGTGCAGACCCCGAGGGTGACTGAGGGTGCATGGCTACAGCCTACTTGTTCAATATTTACCGCGTAAATGTATGGACATAAAAACTGAAACAAAAAAAATTGTTTTTGGAAACAAGAAAGAGACTTATTTTTTCTATAAAGATAAATATGTTTGACATGTTCGATCTCTGGTGTGCGTGTGTTTTGTCCTTTGGTGTACTCTGTTTTTCCATGGTGTCTCGCATCAGCACGTGCCCAGGGAGGCTTCCAGGTGCTTGATGAGCCCTGAAAGCTGCAGCCCAAACTCCTGCAGATTAGGACAAGAAACGTTCAGCTTCAGGAGAAAATTCTGCCTTCTTGTTCTTGAATGTCAAAGGTAATTTCACGCCACGGGACGGGCCAAGATATTCACGTTGGTTTTCGCTAGAATTGAGTATCTTAGGTAATGTATTAACATGCTGAACAGCTGCAGGTTCAAGTGGGCTTCTTAACTGTTTTTAAAAAACCGTATCGTGGAACAGAGATTCCAGGCGTCTGCAGCCCAGGTTGTGTGGAACTCAGTGCACCTGCTTCTGTTTGTGAACAAACTCATTGACATGCTGTTAATTTTAATTTTATTTAATTAATTGTTTTGAGTACTTGAAGATGTTGGGGGGGGTAGTTGCTTTTTAACTACAGCTTTTCAGAGATGACCTTTGATTTGAAAAAAAAACACTTTGCAAACAAGTAAAGCCCTCGACAGGAAAACGAAATCGGCAGGGGTGGGCCTTCCCAAGACCAAGGTTATATTGTCGGAGTCTGGAGCAAATCACCCACCCAAGTTGTTGAAACAGATACCCTGAATTCTTAGAGGAAATGGCTGGATGACACCCTGGGATCATTTCGCTCCTAACTGCTTAGCAAGCTGGGTGGGGCGAACAGTCTCCTCTTGCTTGTTGTTATTTTTTAACATTCTTATTATCCCAAGAGTTGGGAACAGGTTCGCAACTGCGAGACACTCGTGGTGGAAGAAGCAGTACATGCTCGGCGCCAGCAGAGGGCGCGCAAGGGTCGTGGTTGTCCTGGTGCGCTGTACTGTAGCTCGGCCACCGCTCTGGGCCGTAAGGTGTATAGCCAAGAGCCGCTACTTCAACATTTCGTTCACGGCGGTTCAGCAAACCACGAAACCAGAAGGCTCTGGTTTTCGCCCAGAAACGCCACCCCCAACCCCGCTCCAGTGTCAGCGGTGACCGGGTAAGTACTCAGGAAGTGAGTCACAGCGTCCTCCCCGCTGCTCACTCGCGAGCAGTGTGCTTTCCAGTACGTTTTTTTTTGTGTGCTACATCTTCTAGAAACCTCCTTAGACTTGTCTTGGGTGGTTTGGAGCCGTTTCGGTTAGGGGAAATTTCTCTTCAGCTCAAATGAAGTGCTACCTTAATTTAATTCATCAACTGGAGCTGTTTTTTTTTTCATGAAAAGTAGGGATATGTGAATGTATTTCTAACGCATTCGAAATGCCGAATGACACGACAGAAGGAAGGGCTTCATCCCCCTGTAGGTGATGCTCCGCTTGCGGGGATGGATGGCGGTGCAAAACGCTACGAATTTAGAAATTGGTTTCTAAGGCTCTGATGCAACTGGGTCAATGCCATGAGATGCCTAACGCCTTGCACATCGCTCGGTGCCAGCAGACCACCTCCAGAAACGGCTCAGTCCAGCCGCAGGTGTCTGATCTGCTGATCCCCCGAGTCGACAAGATCTGTTCAGCAAAATGTCACATCGCCGTCTCGACACGTACAGTAAGCGCTCTGACAGTAAGGGCTGTAGATCTGAAGCTGCCTGAGTCATCCGCTCGTAGGCGTCCGCCACACATTTTCAGTTACTTAAAGCGACTTTCCTTGCTCTCTTTTTTTTGGCGAAACATCAGCTCTGGATGCTGTTATCTAGAAGTAAAACAATGTTCCTATTTGTGACATTATCGCTCCACCTAGTGGCTTGAAATAACGAAGCGTTTTCACAGCACAGCCAACGAAGAAAAAGCGTTTGGCGTAGACGACGGGTTATTGCGATATGTACAATATTTTAGTTCTGTTACTTATCGGGAAATGTATCGCTCGCAGCACGAAGCTCTAGTCATCCTGTCGAAGAAAGAATGGTGTTTAACATGCGTAATTACCCTTTTCCAAGAAAACCTACATTTAAAACATCCACGTACCTCTAAACGATTAACAGAGATAAAAACATCTAATGTTGCTTGTGAGATAAACGTGTCAATGCAAAGCGAGGACGAGCAGCCGATCAGGAGGAAAAGCAGTGGTTGTAAAAAATATAAAGGCTGTCAAAATCGAAAGCAATCAGTAATTGTTATTCTTGTGAATGGAGTAGACATTAACAGGAGATGTTAAACGGAGCCTAGAAATGATGCCATTTGATCCCACCTTCGCGTATTTTACTTTTTGATACACTCAAGGCAATAGAGCCTTGAAGGGAGCCCAGCCTGTGCCCCCTGACGTAACGCTGTCTCGGTGGTCTGGATCAGACGCCTTCACCCTCTCAGGTTTCTACCACAGCACCCTGACCCCCCTCCCTCGGCGTCCGAGACGGCCGCCCCAACAATCCATGCTTTCCAGAGCCGTTTGCCAATCCGCTGTCTCCCAGGTTAAAGGCTCGGCCGGCCGGTGTGGGGGTGGCGAACTGGGGGGGCTGTTGTATACAGCGCTTGACAGCCCACTGCCTCACATGAGCCAGGAAAACTTCACCGCAGCTGAGCTGAAGGACTGGAGCTCGCCCTTTAAAGAGTCCCCCACACGGAGCGGAGCAGTGGCGCACCTGTGGGCTGGAAGGTTACCGGTTCAAATCCCGCGGCCAGCAGAGGAATCCTACTCGGTTGGGCCCCTGAGCAAGGCCCTTCACCCCAACTGCTCCAGGGGCCCCGTATTAAATGGCTGAGGCTGCGCTCTGACCCCAAGCTTCTCTCCCTGTCTGTGTGTCTCTTGGAGAGCAAGTTGGGGTAGGTGAAAAGACAAATCCCTAATACAAGAAATTGTATAGGGCCAATAAAGTGCTCAAAGCACTTCATCACAACCTCAGCATGAACTAAAGTGCACGGCCTGGATCCCCGTCAAAGGCTCTGTGACAGCAGCCAGGGTGTGAGCGTGCTCATGACCACGAGAACGCAGACTGTCCCGATTTGAAGCAACAGTGCTTCCCGCTCAGTTTCATTATCCCTAGCAAAGGAATCGCTGTGACCCCTCCCTTTCCCAGCTGAGGAACAACAAAAAAAGACGATAATCTATCGCAGACGTGCAGGAGAAGACGCCACTTGTTTACCACGGTTCGGAAGCTGGCGGAAAACTACGCAGCCTCCCTGCTGGAAAGGGCTGGCCGCGTTTCTGGACTGCTGACCGCAGCTGCGCGGATCGCGGCGTGGGCTGGGCTGAGCTGTCAGCAAACCCGGGGGCTGGAGCTCCGCTCCGGAGAACGGCAGCTCCTACCTTTTCCTCGCCCTTCACGTCATGTCCAACAGGATTCGGCTCCTGGATTTACCACGTACCCTCATCCCCGGTGAAAACATGGCGGGGCTGAAGTTCCCGTTAGTTATTTAACTGCGAAGGAAAAAGCTCAGAGGCCCCTGCTGACACTCACACGGCTGTGGTTCAGGGGAGAGGGCGACCGGCCGACACTGCAATAAGCGGTAAAGGTTTCACAAGGACACCCAACGACATCATGTTTCCTACCGTGGATCGAAAGATTCAGTTTTGAAATACACCAGCAAACTGACAAAACCGTGCTCTACATAAGAATACAAAAAAGGGTTCCAACGAGAGTACTTAATTGAATAGCAGTCTCTTGAAAGAAGCCAGGGTATCGGGTTCCAAAAACAAGGCGGAGCAGCATGTTCCACACCCCCACCACCCTTGGTGTAAAGACGTGCCTGTCGTTCTCAACTGTAAATGCCTTTCCCTTCAGTTTCCACTTATGTGCTCTGGTTCATGTTTCCCCGTTACCACAGAAGAAGCCCAGAGCGTTGATCTTTAAGAAGAAAGGCTTTTCTTGTGTTTTTTTTATTAGACAATTGCAGCAGAAGATTCGTGGTTGATTGCACATGTAACGTTGTATTTTATCTGACACTTAATAAGTATATACAGTAGCAAGATTGCAAAAGCATGCTAAGGAAAATGTATGCACTACTTCATTCAGACACTGGTAGTGAGATAAGGCTGAATAAGGAGGACAGCCTCTTTGGCAAATATGACACTCTTAGATAAGGAGTGTGGGGGACTTTCTTGATGTATTAATCTCAAGGAACTACATAAACACTAAACTGTTTTTTATGGGTGAAAAAACACCACACTGACTCCGGTCTATCAAAAGATCAACATCAGAGCAACTCAAGCAGGCTCATGGGAGCAGTCCTGTAGCTGTCAAGAGCACTGCAGCTCCGGGCACCAGGAAGAGCAGCAGGAGCTCACGGAAGACGTTTCTGATCATGGCAGACGTGAGGCAGGAAGTTCAACCTCCAGACTGCTTAAAGAGAACAAATACTGAGAAACAGGGCACGCTGCTAATACAGGTCACTGCAGAAAGGAAATAAACATATTTTATGCAGCACTTTAGCACACTCTGCTACTGTATATGCAAAAGGCGTACTGTAGCTGTGGCAGAGGTCATTTCAAATAGCCTTTCTGCAAAACGGCCAACGTCTCTCTCCCGTAAGCCTGCACACATGAACGCTCTAGGTTGGCGTTTGCACCCGCCCGTCTGTCAGTGTGGTTTTAGAAGGTCCTTGTCCGTACAGAATGGTTTGCTCAGTGTGGCCCGCTGTCCGCTGGGGAGTGGGCGGAAACCATACTGCACGCGTCACGATCTGCGGCGAGAAACTACGGCAAAGGGGCTTGAAATTGAGAACAGGAAGCACCTCTGTTCATGAGGAAGCAAGGCGGGAAGCTCTCCAGTCATGTTTGTTGTCAAAGCCAAGAAACGGGGGTGAAAAATCTCAGATCAATGATCTACAAACAGTCTAGTGGGCTGAACGTCCTCGTCTTGTCCATCAGCTTTCTTCTGTTACAATGGCTCTAGACTGATAGAAACTCATTCCTCAAACCTGAGGAAATTACCTATTGCAAGGGGTCTGAATAACAATTAGTTGCTCTACAAAACTAACACAAAATGTAAGAACATTCGTTTCGAGCTGGAGGAAGCCACTTAGCCTGTCATGCTTGTAGCTTGCAGCCAAATTTATCCCAGATAATTACGCAATTTCCTGGCATGGCTGACGGTTTGCGTAACACCGTGCGTGTGGAAATGCATGTACTAACTACAACCTTGCGTGATTTCGACCTTGTGTCCCCCTGATCTGAGTGTACCCCAAGACATGCAGATGTCCTGTAGTGAGGACAGGCACTGCAACAGCCTCTGATCATTAATATCTAATACTAGGTTATCAATAAATAAGAGCCGTGTCCTTCCTGGCTTTGTGAACAAAAGTCGAAGAAATGCAGGGAAAATACTCAATAAAAAATTATTTTATTGTGTTAACAGCAAAATTTCCTTTCTTGGACTTTGTCAGACATTTCTGGATACTTTACAATATGTAAAGTGAGATTTAGAGAGGATAACAGCTAATGCATCTGAATTAAGGTCGCAGATTAAATTTAACATGTATTGGCTGTGCACAACCCTGAATCCACCACACCACAGACATCCCACCACACTAACTTTACTTCACCTGCAATGACTAAAACTGATGCAGAATGCAATGGGATGATAACAGTTTTCTTTCAAAGCTACACACTACTTTTCACCCTGCTGAAAAGAAAAAAAAGGAATACAAAACACAGGGAGAGAAAGGTGAACATCAACACACCTGCCCAAACTCCGCCAGCAAGGCTGATCGCCTGCACATGCTGTCAGGTGGAGCTGACCTGCAGTGTTTCAAGGGTAAAAATGTCCACAGTCTCTCCCCCATCTCTCACACACACACAGTCTAAAAGTCCTGAAGAGTTAACACTGCACGGCTTTCGACTGAACAGGAAAAGGGATTCCCCGATTTGCAAAATGAGAAATTATAGTTTTCACCTGTACTGAAATTAGTCTTCCTACGCATGTCAAAGACTAAATAAAATGTTAACTTCTTGAGTATTCACACTGCCAATGAACTTCAAAACACCCTGTTTATGTTCGCTTGAGGCCCCAGTGTCGAGAAAATATGTTTTTATAAAATAATATGAATTATGCTTTAGTCGGGGAAGTTCATCAGCCTGGATCACAGCTGGTCCTGGGACTTCGGTCGTAAAGTAACTTTTGCTATTCTTTATTTCAGACTTGGAAACTCATCTATGACTCACAGGTGACTTTCATGCGAAATGTCTTTGTGAAGCTAGGGCATTAGTCCAGGTAAAACAAAAATCAAATCCACCCCCCCCCCCTCTGTGTTAAATTAGAAAACCTCCCATATCCTGTCTCAGGGAACTCGCAACACAGGGGTTTTGCATTCATTCCATTTAAAAATCTTTACCAGTTTAATCTCACAAAACATGCTCACAGACATGTCTCGGGATGAGGAGAAAAAAATCATGTACCGACAGTTAAGAACACGACGAGGGGAACGGTCTTTTGAGCACGCTGGTCTAAAGGACTACAGCCCGGAAACGCAATATCGCGGAGGTGAGGCTGTGCTGACTTCCATGTCCCACTCTGGGGGGACGAGACCTGCGAGAACAGGTGCTGAACAGGTCTGGTTTAAAGTAGAGGAGCACAGCTCCAGCCTTGGAAGGCCTTTTGTGTCTGGAGGTTTTCATCCCCCATCGGAGTTCTTAAATACCTCATCGACCTATTATGAGCTAAACCAGGCCAGATGAGCTGCCTTCCGCAGTTTCTGGTGCTGAAGGTACAGTATAAAGGGATCTTCAAGGCGCTCTGGAGTGGGACCTTCCATGATGGAGCTGATTTCTGTAAGGCTGAAGGGACTCTAATCTTTAGGTCTCACCAACCACCGCTTAAGATTTTGCCTGTAACCAGATTCTAGCCTCAACGTTCTCAACGGATCTCGGACACCTCCCTCCCATCGCGAACTGGGAAAAGTTCAGCCAGTGGAGGATTTCCAAACACATCCTGCTAGGACACTGACAAGGATTTCAAAGGAGACGAGCTTCAGTTCCCAAGCTATCCGCTACCTTCGGGAATCAAAAAGAAAACCAGACCAGATAAAGCATAACATCTCAGCTTAAGTCTGTGCACGACGGGGGTCATTCAGAAGTGTTCATTATAAGGCTTCTCCGAGGGGCACCAAATCGTTGCAAAACGAAAGACGGCTTCCTCAAATTAAACAGAGCTGCCAGACCCGATAAGACTGCCACACTGGGAACACCTCGGACCACGCGTGCTGCCGGCTGGGAAGAGCCTCGCTGACCTTGGCAATCCGAGCTGCAGGTCCGAGCCAGCTGGCCTGGCTGCAGCACTGCGCGCCCCCCACTTCTGCAGGGCAGGACACCCCCACCACCACCTCCTACACCGCGGAGGAGACTGGGTGCAAGTTTTCCAGGCGTCACTACAGAAAAGTTTTATTTAAAAAAAACAAAAGGAATCTGGGATTTTCTTTTTCTAAGTGCAATGAGATATTTTAGGATTCTAAAAAAAAAACCCCAACCACACCCTCCCCTCCTCCTCTATTTCTACCCATTCCACCACCGGGACGCCCCAACCTCCGCCCCTGTCCTGCTGGGGCTCTCGGCTGTTTGTTTCCAGCGGCACCAGCATCTTCCCTGCAGGCAGACCTGCTGGGCCCCCCCGACCCCGCCACAGTGGCCCTCAGGGGCCGGGGAAAACCTTCCGACTCCTCACTGAGCTGCTCGGCGAACCTCCTGCCCCCAGCTAGGACGCTCTGGTCCAGCCCTTTCTAAATACTCTGTCCGTGAGCAGAGAAGGGCAACTGAAAAACGTCAGCGAGCACAGCCAATTCTAATCGTCCCACTAGTGCTATTTACAGACTGGCAATTCACTACAAGCCAGAAATAATAATAAAAAAAAACACATGAAAAAGCTCATCCGTCGCTCAAAAGTTGCTACAATGCATCCGTTTGTCTTTTTTTAAAATGTAAACAAAGAAATGCTTTGCAAATTTCAGAAGCAAATAAGAGATTCTCCCTTTTTAAAGTTTATCCTTTATAGAACCTATTGCCTTGTTTTTTCTATAATGATTGCAGTCTCCTACATTGTTTTAGCATGATTATTTTAACCACCCTGAGAGTTAATGGCTAACTCAAAATGCAGCCTATCTGAGATTATTAAAAGTTTGTGTACTGAGGTGTAACGAACATTTGCTTAAAAATAAAGAAGTTGTACAGAAGGCATACCAGGGACCAACTTTACAGCTGCAACAAGAGAACTATTCATTCTTTTTCATTTTTAGCCAAGCAACACCTGGACTGCGTGGCCTACTGAGTCCGAAAAGTGCCAAATGGATTTCCGCAAGTGCTGTTTCTTTGTGCATGCAACTTAGTAAAATCTTCCAGACTGCTCCGTCCTGATCGTGTCACATCTCAAACAAGAGACAGGCAGCTCGCTCCCGTAGAGGGGCAAATTTCATGTGGAAAGAATACAAAAGACCAGAGTTTTGGCCTCGCAGTGTTGGAGTAAGGGGGAACCCCATTCACACACAGGCCTGCCACTGTTGGCCTGGGGCCTCTGAACTGTGGTTCCACACTGGCGACTGAGCAACTCTCCCAGTTCACTTGTGGGAGGGGAAAAGGAGAGGGGAAATTGGGGGGGCAGGAGGGTCCTGGGGACCCCCACACCTGCTGGCACTCATGGCAGCTCAACTCTGTACTTAAACCCAATCTGACCCAACACGTTGACTGGGTTGGAACCTCTGCAAGTTTGTTTTTTGTCTGCTCAAAGCTTGACACCCTTTAAGTCACTTTTAAAATGCAGAAACTGGAAGGCAGCTTTCCTGCCATGCTAGGAACACAACAAACCTACTCTCAGGCGCACTAAGAGTTCGCCGCCGCCAGCAGAGCAATGCAACTCCAGTGTCCGAGAGGGCCAGAGTTTGAGTTTGACTGGTTTGTTCTTTGTCCTTTCTGTTCGTCCTCTGCTACACCGCTGGTAGCCTCGCTGTCGAAAGCTCTTTTGTTCACTGTGAAATAGGCTGCCTCTCGGGCTAGCGAGTTGCCCCTAGGCGCCTGCTTCGGCTCTCCTCGTAGACCGAGAGGCATGCGAAACGTTGCAAAAAAAAAAACGTTGATGCCTCTCGGTCTGCACCAGGGGGCCCTCGGTCCTGGCCTGAAGGGGGCGATGTGTCTGCAGGGGTTCTGGGTCTCTCTGGAGCAGCAGCACCTGAAGAGCTCGGAGGAGCTCTTAAATCGGTCCAATTCAACCAATAACGAGCTGACTTGGGTCATTTAAGGCCCAGCTTGCCTGAAGACCTGCAGATACACCAACACTCCTGAACCCCAACTAGGGCACCTGATTTATAACAAGACATTCAAGACACTACAAAAGCTTCCAAGTCTGACCCTTTCGTTGCGTTTTAATGCCTCTCCGTATATTTATTTTTTAAGCAAATGTTTAAGCTTATAAATGCTGAAATACTTTTGTCTGCATTGCTCCCATGTTGAACGCAGTGAATTAGTGTTCCTTTGGTTATGTACAAATCTACATGTATTTCATCTTTTACAAAATAAAAGACTATATAGAAAATGATCGTTAAAAATGATCTGAAATTCTGCTCTGATTTCTTTCCTATTAATATAGTTATATTTGTTAATGTCATTTTTAGATACCCTCCAACTGTATCTTCTATTAAAATTATCATCAAATATAGCTTTTGTTTAGTTTTTCTGAATTCATTTCTTACAAAAAAAACGTTAGTATGTGGAAAAAAAAGTAATCAGTTGTAGAAAATATTTCATTTTTTTTCAAATTCAGCTCACACTGCCCCCTCCTTAATGTGGGACTTTAAAATATCTTTCTAGAGCTGCCTTGTTTTTCTATTTGTAAAAAAAAAAATACAAAATGCTGAAAGAGAATGGTACCTTATCCTTTTCTTGTGAACATTGCATGTCTTGAAGACCACTAATCTAAACCTTTTCGTTTTTTTTCTGCAGCTGTTTTGCCTACAGCCCTGCAGCTGGGTGGACTTCTAGAACCAAACGATTCGAGAACGTTCTAGAACCTGCCTTGTAGGCATTAAGTTGCATTAATCTGGGGCACTGGAATCCCCTGAAGTAAAAAAAAAAAAGGGTAGGTATCCCATCACCCATCACCTCGGAACATAGAGGTTCCTAGAATGCCCATTTTGTTTGAGAGAATTACGCACTCTCGAGTTTTTTTTTTAGGAAAAAACGCGATTCCACTTTAGCGCCTCCTTCCACTGTGCGCCGCGCCGCAGACTGGGAGGCTGGATGTGAGCAGAACACATTTCCGGAAGCAACGCCCTTTCCAAGGGAATTCCGGGCCTCGGCACAGATCCGACGGGGCATCTGGACGCCAAGTGCCCCCGGGCCTCATTCCGGACGCCTCCCGGGTCTGGGCGCCCCTAGACGTACCCCCAACGCAACGTCCAGATCCAGCAGAAACACCGTCTGTCGCAGTCTCTTTCGAAAGAGGAGAGCAGGGCGTGGGCACGGGAGTGACTCCGGCGTTCCCCACGTCTGCAGGCGAGCTGGGAAGAGTCTGCTGTCCGGGCGGCGCTCCTGGGCGAGTCCTTCGTGCTCCGGAAGGCGAGGAGCTCCCCCAGGGGATTTAACGACCCAGAGGAGAGCTCGTACCCAAGGCCGAGCGACCCGGTCCTTCAAATCCCTGGCTGCAGGCTCCTGCGCTCCCGGACACACACACACACACAGACACACACACACAGGCTGGGAGGGCGAACTAGACCACACACACGCACAGGGCCACCAACACAGCCAGGCGTCTCCCGGATAAATAAGAGATCCTCGTGGGAAAAGTGCAGCCCGCACAATGAAGGCGCTTTATCGAGGTAACCTGGACCGCTATTTACACAGAAGGGTCTGAGAAACTGAGGGGGCACCTGCAGCAGGATCACCGTGGTCAGACTTCAGCTTAGGGGTGGCAGGATGACACTGGAAATGGACAACCAACCAGTTGCCGACGCGTTTCTGGCGTGTTGCAGATGGAACAAGATCTCTTCTGCGCACAGCCCCAGGGTTAGGGGTCAGACTGATGGGAATTCCGCTACGGCAGAGGTTGGTTATGACTCCGCTGATCTCGCGCTGTTCAGCCGCGGTTGATACACCTCCATCTGCGACCCCTGACCTGAAGCGCTCCCCGCTGCTGCAGGAAGTGCTACCCCCCGGCGAGCACCATATCGCTCCCCGAATCGGCAAGGGGATGGACCCACTGCTGAATCTTAAACGTCCAACTGTCGGGTTTTTGTTTCCAACTATTACTCCGCCCCTCGGCCAGACGAAGAGACGCGGCGACTCGGTTTTCCGAAACCGGCCCCCGGGCACCAGAGGGGAGAGGGGGCGAAAGTTCTTCCAAGAGACGGAGAAGCACCTTCGTTGCCTCGCACCCGTGCCGCCCCCTGCCCTCCGTCGTTTCCACCCGAACGCGTCCAGGGGCGTCCAGGGGCGGAGTGTCCGCTGTCCTTCTTCGCCGGACGCTGAAGGCCGGACACGTTGTTCGGGGAGCTCCTGTCCGCTTGAAAACTGTTACTTGGCACAATTGAGGCTGTGTTTCTTAAAAAAAAAAAATAAAACCCTTAAAAATACCTACCCACCCCCTCACACCCCCAGGTCAAAATTAAACAGGGGATTTGCAGCTGATAGACCTTGCGAAGAGGTGGGATTGGAGTGTCGTGCGTCCCCGCAGTGAACCCCTAATTTCTTGCTCTGGAGGGGGCTGCTGTTTTGGGGGTTCTTAAGGGGGCGTCTTCAGAGCACTATTCCTACAAAGCAAAAAAAGGATGCGATTCAATATGAGCACATCACAAGTCTAGCACTAATGGACACACGGGAGGACATGATAAACTGCGACGTGTTCGTGCTCTGTGATTCAGGGCTCCTGGAGAGCACCTGGACACACTGGTCCTGCTCTCTGGAAGCTGCAGTTATACGGTCTTCAGGAATAACCACCGGTGAGGCCAGCCGGGCCCTGCAGGTGGGGGGAGAGGCGGGGGGCTGTGCCTTAAATGAGGCAAAGCGAAAAGGCAGAGTACGGACTCGAGAATCGTTCCCAGTTAGCCCCTGCTCCAGAAGGCCAGCCGGCTTCCTGAAGGATGCGGCCGAGAGGTCCGAGGAAGTAAAGGCACACCAGCCAGACAGAGTGTGTGCGTGGCGGGGAGGGGAGTGTGTGTGCGTGCGTGTAGCTGAAGGGCAGTGTGTGTATGTGCGTGTGTTGGGGAGGGCAGTGTGTATGCATGTGTGGCGTGTGTGTGTGTGTGTGGCAAGGGTGTGTGTGTGGCGGGAGGGGAGTGTGTGTGTGTTGGGGAGGGGAGTGTGTGTGTGTGTGTTCGGGAGGGGGGTGTGTGTGTGTGTGTTCGGGACTGGAGGACTAGAGGACAGGAAGACAGGGGGACAGGGTGTGTGTGTGTGGCAGGAGGGGACAGGGGGACAGGGGGACTCTCCAGGTGGTCG